CGTATTTTATGTTATTTTGAGAATTTGAGGATTTGAGGATTATGGTGTTTTGAAGACTTAAGGATTCCGATGTTTTGAGGGTTTGAAGATTATGGTGTTTTGAGGAATTACGGAATATGGTGTTTTGATGATTTGAGGATTTTGGTGTTTTGAGGATTTGAGGATTTTGGTGTTTTTTGAGGATTTAGGGAATATGGCGGTTCGAGGATTTGAGAATTATGGCATTTTGAGCATTATCCCAAAAAATCAAAATTTCCAAAAACTGAAACAACCAGAATTGGAAACAAAAAACTGAAAACTCGAAAAATTAAAAACTTGGATAAACTGGAAAATCGGACAATTGAAGGAACAAAAATTCAAAATACCCAAAAAGCTAAAACCCAAAAATTGTAAACAAAAAATACAAAAATCGAAAAAATGAAACGTCGAAAAATAAAAAAAAAATCAAAATATCCAAAAATTTTTATTTTAATTATCGCCTCATTTAAACCTTTACACCTTTTGATGATTATGGCATTTTGAAGATTTGAAGATTATGGTGCCTTGAGGATTTGTGGATTATGGCGTTTTGAGAATTTGAAATCAAAATTAATAAAAAAGTTGTTACAATCAAAATTGCAAACGAAAATGAAAACTCGAAAAATTATAAGGAAAATCCAAGAAATGAAAAACCGAAAAGTCCAAAAATTAAAAATTTAAAACACGAAAATTCAAAATATCCAAAAAAAGAAAACTTGAAAATTACAAACAAAATATTCGTAAATCAAAAAATTGAAATATTGAAAAATCAAAAAAAAAATCAAGCTATCCAAAAATTTTAATTTTAAATATCGCCTCATTTAAAAATAATTCATAGCTTTTGAGTCTCGATTTGGACGTATTTTATATTATTTTGAGGATTTGAGGATTATGGTGTTTTGAAGATTTAAGGATTCCGATGTTTTGAGGGTTTGGGGATTATGGTGTTTTGAGGAATTAAGAAATATGGTGTTTTGATGATTTGAGGATTTTGGTGTTTTGAGGATTTGAGAATTTTGGGGTTTTTTGAGGATTTAGGGAATATGGCGGTTCGAGGATTTGAGAATTATGGCATTTTGAAGATTATCCCAAAATATTATATTATATGATTATATGATATTTTAAATATCGCCTCATTTAAAAATAATTCAAAGCTTTTGAGTCTCTATTTGGACGTATTTTCTATTAATATTTATTTATTTTTATTGTGGAGCATTTGAGGTTTATGGTGTTTTGAGGATTTGAGGATTATGATGTTTTCAGGATTTGATGATTATGTTATTTTGAGGATTTGGGGATTACGGTGTTTTGAGGATTTGAGGATTATGGTGTTTTGAAGATTTGAGGAATATGTTTTGAGGAATACGGTGTTTTGAGAATTTAAGGATTAGTGTTTTGAGGATTTAAGGATTACGATATTTTGACGGTTTGAGGATTATGGTGTATTGAAGATTCGAGGAATATGCTGTTTTGAGGATTTGAGGATTATAGCGTTTTAAGGATTATGGAGTTTTAAGAATTTGAAGATTATTCAAAAAAATCGAAATTAAAAAAACAACCAAAATTGCAAACGAAAAAGCAAAAACTCGAAAATTTGAAGCAAAATCAAAGAAATGAAAAATTAAAAGTCGGTAAATTAAAAATTCGGAAAAACTAAAAATTCGAAAAATTGAAAAAACGAAATTTCAAAATATCCAAAACGAGAAAACTCGAAAATTCTAAACAAAAAATTCAAAAATCGAAAACCTGAGTTATCCAAACAAAAAAAAAACTGAACAGTCGGAAAATGAATAATTTGGAAAAACTGAAAAATCAGAAAACTGCAGATTGAAAAATTGAAGACTGAAAATGAAAAACCGAAAAATTGACAATCACAGAAATCAAAAATCGAAAAGTCAATTTTTCGATTTTCAGTTTCTCAATTTGTAATTTTTAGATTTTTCATTTTTCAATTTTTCGATTCAATTGGATATTTTCTTTTTCCGATTTGCAATTTTTAGATTTTTAGATCTTTGGTTATTTTAGTTTTCCGTTTTTTGAAATTTTGATTTTTTAGTTTCTCGATTTTTTATTTGACCATTTTTCATTTCTTCAATTTTTCGATTTTATTTTTTTTTCTATACAATTTCGATTTTCTATTTTTTTTGAGGTCTTAAATTTTTCGATTTTTCATATGCGTAGATCAATCGAAAATTGCAAATCGAAAAAAAAATTAAAAATTGAGACACTGAAAAATGGAAAAATTGCTCATCCAAAATTGAAAAAACGAAAATTTGAAATATCCAAAAAAAGAAAATTGACGAAATAAAAAAACAAAATCAACACATCCAAAAATTTAGAAATAAAAATTAGATGAAAAAAATCGGAGAATTGGAAAATCAAAAAGTCGAAAAATCAAAAATCGTCAAACTGAAAAATTCAAAATTTCAAAAGATTGAATAAACGAAAATTACAAATGAAAAGTTGAAAAATCGAATAATCAAAAAAATAAAAAATTCAAAACTCGAAAAATTAAAAACCGAGAAATGACAGATCAAATTATCTAAAAATTAAAAGTCGAGAAGCTGAAAAATCGAAAAATTGCAAATCCCAAAACTGACAAAAACGAATAATCGAAAATTGCAAAGAAAAAATCCAAAAACTAAAAAAATCTAACGCAAATTCAAAATATGCATAGATCGAGAATTGAAAAAGAAAAATTACAATTGAAAAATCGAAAAACTAAAAAACCAAAAATTCAGAATCCAAAATTACAAAATCCAAAATTACAAAATCGAAAAATAACATACCCCAAAATTGAAAAAACGAAAATTAAAACATCAAAAAAAAAGAAATCGAAAATTGAAAATGAAAAAATTGAGACACTGAAAAATTGAAAAATTGTCAATCCCAAAATGGAAAATACGAAGATTTAAAATATCCAAGAAAAGAAAATTCGAAAATTGCAAACAAAAAATTCGAAAATCGAAAAATTTTAAATTTAATTATCGTGTCATTTAAAAAATATTCACACCTTTCAATCGTATTTTAATAACTCGAAAAAGTAAAAGCTTGCAAATTTGCGTTTTTCTCCCTAGAAAATTAATCACGAATTCTTTATCAACTAATGTGTAAAATTTTAAACACTACAATCTTGTGTTTAGAGGAGCTGAGGATCATGGTATTTTGGGGAATATTATTGTGTTTTGAGGTTTTGAGGATTATGGTGTTTTGAGGATGAGAATTTTGGTGTTTGGAGAATTTGAAGATTTTGGAGTTTTGAGAATTTGATGATTATGGTATTTTGAGGATTTGAACATGATGATGTCTTGAGGATTTGTGGATTACGGTATTTTGAGGATTACGGTATTTTGGGAATTTGAGGGTTTATAGTGTTTTGAGGATTTGAGGATTATGGCATTTTGGGTGTTAATGTGTTTTGAGGATTTGAGAATTTGAGGGTTATGGTGTTTCAAGAATGTGAGGATTATGGTGTTTGAGGATTTTGGTGTTTTGAGGATTTGAGGAATATGGTGTTATGAGGATTGGAGGATTATTGTATTTTATGGATTTAAGAATTATGGTCTTTTGAAAGTATGAGGATTATGGTGTTTCGAGTATTTGAGAATTATGTTTTGAGGATTTTGTTATTTTGGGGATATGAGGATTATGGTATTTTGAGGATTTGAGGATTACGGTGTTTGAGGATTTGAGGAAGACGAGATGTGTTTAAGAATTTCAGGATTTTGCTGTTTTGGTGGTTTGAAAATTTGAAGATTTTTTTGTTTTGATGATTTGAGGATTTTAGTGTCCCGACGATTTGAGGATTTGGTGATTTAAAAAATTTTCCAAAAAATTTTAAACTGGAATTTTCATTCTTGTCTGAATAATCATCGTGACGGCAGCCTCGAGTTCGTAATGGGGGGAAGATTATTTTTACACCATGGGCATGGTACCAATTTGAAGATATTATTGATTTTAATAATTTTTCTGGAATAACTTTTGAAAATTGTAAATTCAATTTTTCACGACATCGCGACGGCAGATTGATAGATCCTAAGTACCCCAGAAACCAAGATCACCTTGAAGATTGAAAATGATTGTTGAAAGCTGATAGTTTGTACCAAAATTCTTGAGTTTGATTAAATTTTAAATATTATTAGCATTTTTTCAATTGCTAGAAAATCATACTTTAAAGATTGCATTTTTTAGGAATGGAAATTTATTTTCGCTGCCATGTTACACTAAATTTATTCATCTTTTATACATTTTTAATTCAATTTCAAAAGAAATAGTGAACACAGAAATCAATTGTCCATGCAATAATTACTGTTTAATTATTTATTTCAAAACAAATTGACGTTAGAAACAAAATTGCAAAGAATCAAAGAACATAATTATTTTCAGGCAATATCTAGAACCTGAAAAAAATGTGTGAAACAAAAACCAAGATAAACGACACTTTTTGTCACAGCTGCCTTGACAAATTTGATTAAAATATGTCTTTCCATAAAACAAAAAACGAACGACAATAAATCATCGCCTGACTCGATCGTAGATCACGCGTTTCCACAGTTAAAGCTGACGACCCTAGATATTCGACTTTGTAACAGGACCACAGAACATCGTGGAGGTAACAAACCAAAGACCGATTAACATCCAGAAGCGCCATCTACCAAACAATAGCCCAATCACCTGCCATCACAGAACCCCACACTCCATCGTCCCACTTACCCACCAGAGGCCACCACCACCACCACCACCCACCCAAAAACCTAAGAAACCATAATTAACACTCACGATTACGGTAAAAGCAATCCACTTACGATTACTTAATTTAAAGCATTAAGCAAAAACCTGACACCCAATTTCACTTTCTACGTCATTCACGCCGATAATTACAACAGCGCGGATTTCACCCATCGAAAAACACAATTTTCCACTCAGCCGCACCATAATTATCCCAGATAAACAATTGAATGGAAATTTGGTAGGGAAAGGGCGAAACAATAAAACTTTTCTTCGGAGCGCCGAACCACCAGTGAAAATGTCGACTCGAGAAAAATGAAACGAGTAAAGTCGCCGAGTTTGCCAAACACGATTTTAATTTTAAATTTTAGGTGACTTTGTGGCTGATTTTCGTGATGGGTTGGGTGGATGGTAAAGTTGGCAGTGCGGACCCGAGGTACTTCCTACCCATACAAGCCCCGACGGGACGCTACACCAGCAACTGTTACACCAATGGTGGTAAAGCGACAATTTTTGTCACCCGATTTACATAAAATTTTCTAGGGTACGTAAATCCGCCGCAGTTTTGCGCCCTGCCGCCCCCGGTGCTTGAGGCCAACCCGCTGGCGGCGGCTCTGGCGCTAAGCTCGTCGTTGCGCTTGAATCCGAAGTTGCCAGGATACAATCATGCAGAACACCTGCCCCTAAATCCATACGTGGCCCTTTTGTTGTCCCATTATGGCAAGTACGCCCCTGTTTACGGAACAGGTAGAGGGTTGTATGGGTACGTGGCGGCCAATAATTACCACAACAACCAACCAGTGGGGGCCTACAAAATTTTCGAGGACCACGACGGGTGACATCACATCATCATTATTATTATTGTAATTTAAAAAAAATCAAAATTTTTTCTCAATTTTTTTTTTCGACTTTCTTAAGTTTTTACTAATTGTGATTCCAGTCAAATCAACCTCCAATTATGTATGTACACGCACATTCACATGTTTTAAACATGCCCTCATCCATAAATCAAAGGCTTGATTTATGTGCCACGTAAACAAAGCAGACTACCATCAATATTAAAACAATCCTTCCCATCTCGGCCTTCCCATCACCCGTGCCTCTAAAAACCATGCCATTCCCATGGTAACCCATAAATTCAGCTCGCATACCGACAGCCGAACTTTTTACCAAATCCTCTTAGCCATATATGGCGGAACAAAACGGGTATTTATGGGCGCGATCCAGACCACGAAAATCGTCGAAAATACAAAGTGTTAATTATGTGGCGGATTAAAGGAAAAGGTGATGAGATGGAAGAAAGGTTAAAGGTCGACATCGAATAGTGCGTTCATTACTTGTTAAAGGACAATGGCACGGACAAGTATTCTTTTGTCGAGCCGGATTGTTCCGAATGCTCCATTGTGGCTTTAGTTGTGTTAATGTTATATTGTGTGTAATGTTTTATTTCCGTATTAATTATACGATGTAGTACTACGACAGAGCCAAGTCTCACCGATGGTGTGGTCTATTATGTTAATAAAGTGGATGGGAGAGACCATTGGGGACCCTTTTTTTCGGCTAGCGACGCAAGTTTGGAATTCCAGAATCTCCTGGCAATTACTGAGTGCACTAGACTATTATTATTTTCTTAATTAGCACTGCTTTTACAAAAAAAAAAACACCACAAATTTTAATATTAATTGTGTCTATAATTTGAAAGTTCCAAAATTTGGTCTTAGAACCTCTTGTAAGTGCGTAATTTTTGCTTTGAAACAAGTCACATTTGTTAAGAATTAAATACCTAAACGAATTTCAGAACCGACTAAAATTTCAAAATAGCTTAATTCCAAAAATTTCGTCAATGTCGAGGTTTAAGGGGCTAACTCTGGTTTGAGAATGCTCATAAGTCTAAATTCTGGAACCTCAAACTGTTTTTCTTTAATTCACTAAAGATCAGAGAAGTCAAAAATTTTGGATTTCCAAATTCAAGAAAAGTTAGCCAATTTCGAAAAAATTTTGATCTCTTTTTACATAAAATACAGAACAGTACAATTGCTTAAAGCTTACGTAACTGGAAATTTTTCATAGTAGTTAAATTCCAGTGGCGGCTCGTGACCTTTTGAAATGGGGAGACACAATTTGATTGATGAGTTAAATATGAAGACATAAACAGGTTGTTACTACCAATTAATAGACGAAATTGTGTGACGGAAATAAATACAAAAATACATTCGATACAGTTCAACTGCTTAAGTGTGCAAAAGAACCAGCCGTGAAAATTCACGTAACTAGAAACATTTTTCAAAGTAGCTAAATTCCAAAAATTTCGTCAGTATTAAGGTTTGAAGGGCTATCTCTGATTTCAAAAGGGTTATTAAACTAAATTCTGGAAGGACAAACTTGATTGTAGCCCTCAAAGTGTTTCTCTTTAACTCACTAAAAAATCAGAGAATTGAAATAATTTTAACTGTCAAATTCCAAAAATGTCGTCAATATCAAGGTTTGAAAGACTATCTCCGATTTCAAAATTCTAGAAGGACCAACTAGATTGTAATCCCCAAATTCTTTTCCTTTAACTTAATAAAACAACAGAATTGAATTAATGGTAAAAATGTCAAAATTCACAAAATTTTGGATTTCTAAATTTAAGAAAAGTTAGACGATTTCAAAAAATTTTTGTTCTTTTTGTGTTTTTTTTTCATTGTATACAGAACAGTACAACTGCTTAAGTGTGCAAAAAAACCAGCCGTGAAAATTCACGTAACTAAAAACATTTTTCAAAGTAGCTAAATTCCAAAAATTTCGTCGGTATTAAGGTTTGAAAGGCTATCTCTGATTTCAAAAGGGTTATCAATCTAAATTCTGGAAGGACAAACTTGATTGTAGCCCTCAAAGTGTTTCCCTTTAACTCACTAAAAAATCAGAGAATTGAAATAATTTTAACTGTCAAATTCCAAAAATTTCGTCAATGTCAAGGTTTGACAGACTATCTCCGATTTCAAAATTCTAGAAGGACCAACTAGATTGTAATCCCCAAATTCTTTTCCTTTAACTTAATAAAACATCAGAATTGAATTAATGGTAAAAATGTCAAAATTCACAAAATTTTGGATTTCTAAATTTAAGAAAAGTTAGACGATTTAAAAAAATGTTTGATCTATTTGTGTTTTTTTTTTTCATTGTATACAGAACAGTACAACTGCTTAAGTGTGCAAAAGAACCAGCCGTGAAAATTCACGTAACTAGAAATATTTTTCAAAATAGTTAAATTCCAAAAATTTCGTCAGTATTAAGGTTTGAAAGGCTATCTCTGAGTTCAAAAGGTTTTATCAATCTAAATTCTGGAAGGACAAACTTGATTGTGGCCCTCAAAGTGTTTTTCTTTAACTCACTAAAATATCAGAGAATTGAAATAATTTTACCTGTCAAATTCCAAAAATTTCGTAAATATCAAGGTTTGATATGCTATCTCCGATTTCAAAATTCTGGAAGGACCAAGTAGATTGTAATCCCCAAATTATTTTCCTTTAACTTACGAAAACATCAGAGAATTGAATTAATGGTAAAAATATCAAAATTCACAAAATTTTGGATTTCTAAATTTTAGAAAAGTTAGACGATGTCAAAAAATGTTTGATCTTTTAGTGTTTTTTTTTTTTTCTTCATTGTATACAGAACAGTGCAACTGCTTAAGTGTGCAAAAAAACCAGCCGTGAAAATTCACGTAACTAGAAATATTTTTCATAGTAGCTAAATTCCAAAAATTTCGTCAGTATTAAGGTTTGAAAGGCTATCTCTGATTTCAAAAGGATTTATCAATCTAAATTCTGGAAGGACAAACTTGATTGTGGCCCTCAAAGTGTTTTCCTTTAACTCCCTAAAAAGTCAGAGAATTGAAATAATTTTAACTGTCAAATTCCAAATATTTCGTCAATATCAAGGTTTGAAAGACTATCTCCGATTTCAAAATTCTGGAAGGACCAACTAGATTGTAATTCCCAAATTCTTTTCCTTTAACTTAAAAAAACATCAGAACTGAATTAATGGTAAAAATGTCAAAATTCACAAAATTTTGGATTTATAAATTTAAGAAAAGTTAGACGATTTCAAAAAATGTTTGATCTTTTTGTGTTTTTTTTTTCCATTGTATACAGAACAGTACAACTGCTTAACTGTGCAAAAGAACCAGCCGTGAAAATTCACGTAACTAGAAATATTTTTCAAACTAGCTAAATTCCAAAAATTTCGTCAGTATTAAGGTTTGAAAGGCTATCTCTGATTTCAAAAGGGTTATCAATCTAAATTCTGGAAGGACAAACTTGATTGTGGCCCTCAAAGTGTTTTTCTTTTTAACTCACTAAAAAATCAGAGAATTGAAATAATTTTAACTGTCAAATTTCAAAAATTTCGTCAATATCAAGGTTTGACAGACTATCTCCGATTTCAAAATTCTGGAAGGACCAACTAGATTGTAATCCCCAAATTATCTTCCTTTAACTTACTAAAACATCAGAGAATTGAATTAATGGTAAAAATGTCAAAATTCACAAAATTTTAGATTTCTAAATTTTAGAAAAGTTAGACGATTTCAAAAAATGTTCGATCTTTTTGTGTTTTTTTTTTTTTTCATTGTATACAGAGCAGTTCAACTGCTTAAGTGTGCAAAAGAACCAGCCGTGAAAATTCACCTAACTAGAAATATTTTTCAAAGTAGCTAAATTCCAAAAATTTCGTCACTATTAAGGTTTGAAGGGCTATCTCTGATTTCAAAAAGATTATCAATCTAAATTCTGGAAGGACAAACTTGATTGTGGCCCTCAAAGTGTTTTCCTTTAACTCACTAAAAAATCAGAGAATTGAAATAATTTTAAAACTGTCAAAATTAAAAAATTTTGGATTTCCAAATTTTAGAAAAGTTAGCCAATTTCGAAACATTTTGATCTTTTTGTTTTTTTATTATTATTATTATTATTATACAGAATAGTGCAAGTACGTAAGTGTGAAAACGGATTATCAATCTAAATTCCGGAAGGACCAACTTCATTGTGGTCCTCAACGAGTTTACTTTTCACTCACTAAAAAATTGGTCAAAGGTTATTTTAATAGAACTTCCCTCGCCCCTGAAGTGCAGCCAAATAAATCCCACTTCTCTGAAAAATTATCTTTTTTTTTGCGATTTTTGTTGTCTGATAACCTCTATAAAGCAAAAACCAGTGGCAGGTGCGTTCCCGCAGCTTATTTGACTGGAATTTTTCTTCAATTTTTCATTTTGTTTGTTCCTTCATTTTTTCGAGTTTTGAAGTATTAATTTTTAATTTGAATTTAATTTTTAAATTTTTCAACGTTTCAATTCAGTTTCTAGATTTTCGAGTGTTCAATTTTTAATTTTTCTATTTGCAATTTTTCGTTTCAGTTTATTATTTTCTTTCTTTAATTTTACGATATCTTCGAGTTTTCATTTTTTAGATTTTGCAGTGTTTGGATTTGAAATTTCACGAGTTTTAAATATTTTATTTTTCATTTTTTCATTTTTCATTTTTCATTTTTCGAGAAAAACGAGAAAGTACAAGGTATTCTACGTGATTTACAGTCCAAAATTATTAAATAATAGATTGATTTTATGTTTTTTATTATAATATCTCTTGTTCTTTGTGGCAAAAAATTGTTGAGAGAAAACCATGCAAATAAAGAAAAAAAGAACAAAGATAAAGCACCACCCACCCGCCCCGATCTCAGTTGTGATCAGTTTTTGATTCCTAATCAGACGAGGGGCGGAGTTTAATAATTTTAACATAATATTTCTCTAGAATATTCAACTCTTTAAAAACATAATTCATATGGTCATTTCTTGTAGAGA